CTGTGTAGTCAGATAAAACACTTTGTGTTTTATTAAACTGTGTAGTCAGATAAAACACTTTGTGTTTTATTAATCTGTGTAGTCAGATAAAACACTTTGTGTTCCAATATTTTAAAATATATCAAGATTTGCTTTGAGACCTAAAATGTGATCTATTCTGGAGAATGAAGTACGCACAATTGAGTCGATTGTATATGACGGGGTTTAAAAAAATTCATGGGAAAATTTCATTATCTTTCCATTTTTCATGAACTTCCTGAAGTTCCCTCATACGTCTGTTAGGAGCCCTGATAGCATAGTGGTTACATTCGCTGTGAACTGCAAGGTCGGCAGTTTGAATCTATCAAACTGCAGGAGAAACATGATGCTTTCTGCCTCCCCACCCCGCAAAGATTTACAGCAGCAGAAACCCTGTTACAGGGTCACTATGAGTCGGAACCGACTCCAAAGCACACCACCTCCACCACCACTTGTCTGTTAACTCTACTTTGTTTATGACACTTCATTCAGATGAGCTTGTTCCTTGTAGGTCTTCTTTCTAGATGTTCTGTCCAGTATTCAAAGTGGTGGTCTTCAACTATGAGGGGCTTCAAAAAGTTTATAGAAAAATGGAACTAATTTTAACTGCTGTTACGTGGAGGGGATTGCAATCATTGTAATGAAGTAAAGTCTTTGATTTGCTGAATGTGAAACTGACACTCTTCTCTGTAAACCTTCAGTCAAATCACAATAAAAAGTTTTGAAAAAAGAAATGGAATGAACATATTTCTTCCCATGAATTTTTAAAGCCCTTTCGTATTATTGTAGGGGCTTAAAAACAATATGAGGGGGGCTTTAAAAAGTTCATGGGAAAAATATGTTTTAAGCTCCCTCATGTTACTGTGGAATTCTGGTGTGGCGCTGTAGAATCAGCACTAATCCACAAGGTAGGTTTGAACCACAAGGTCAGCAATTCAAACTCACCAGCCAGTCCTCACAAACCCTATCTAGGGTTGCTATGAGTCAGAATTGACTTGATGGCACTTAACAACAACAACATATTATTGTAGTTTCTGTCAATGTTTGCTGTATATATTTAGTCTCATGTTGTTGTGAAGTGCTGCTGAGTCGGTTCTGACCCATAGCGACCCTGTAATACCCTGTATGGGGTTTCCTGGGAGCAGCTGGTGAGCTTGAACTGCCGACCTTGTAGTTCAAATGGCTTTGCAGTCTGATGCATTAATGCACAGCATCAGACCAGGACTCCAGTCTCATGTTGAGAGGGTATATATTTATGATGGGTAAATCTCTTTTCTTTACTTTACAACAACAACATGAGACTAAATATGCAATGTCCATATTTATCTCATTTGACACATTTGGTTTTTAAAAGTCTAAAGTCAACTTTGGTATTAAGATTGCCACCCCAGCTTTGTTTTGGCTGTGATTTGCATGGAACATTTTTCCCTCGTCCTTGCACTTACAACCAATTTGTGTCCTTGGGTTTATGGTAGCTCTTGTAAACAGCATATAGTTGGATTCTTTATTTATTTAATCCATCCTGCCCCTCTCCACCATTTGACTGGAGCAGTTAGTCCATTTACAATCGCTGTACTTAGTGACTTACTTCTGCCGTTTTGTCACTTGAGCTTTCTTGTGAGTATAAGCTTTCTTTTTGTTCTTTACCATTGCTTGCTTTTGTGTTTTGTTGGTTTATTTTAGTGATCCATTTTGGTTCCCTTCTGCTTGCCTTTTGTTTATGTTTTATATAAATATATATATTTACATTTTAAAAACCAAAACCAAACCCACTACCATGAAGTCGGTTGTGGCTCATAGGGACCTATAGGACAGAATATGCCCCCATAGGATTTCCAGGTCTGTAAATCTTTATGGAATTAGACTGCCACAACTGTTTCCCTTAGAGCAGCTGGTGGATTTCAACCACCAATCTTTAGGTTAGCAGCTAAGCACTTTTAAGACTGTACCACTCCTCTCCATCTTCCTTTTGTTATCAGTAATAACATCTTAAAAAATAATCAAATTTTTCACGAACTTTTTGAGACTTCTTCATAAATTTCATGTAATCTGTCACATAATAGGGTAGAATACTTAGAATGGTCATAGTATTCGTGGTTGAGGTGTTTTCTTTTGGTTGTTGTTGTTAAGTGCCTTCTAATCGGTTCTGATTCATAGCAACCCTGTATAGGG